ACTGCCTCTCCCATCACCACCAACCATTGGGAATGCCAGTGGATGGACACAGTAGCCCCAGAAACATCTGGGTTGGGGGATAGACTGATCTTGAGGAACTGGAATGTATTGGAGAAAATGGGCTAAAACTAAAGGTACATGAGCCAGCAGAGATAATACTGTTCACCTCAGGAATACTGGCTCAGTGGAGTGCCTTCCCCCCAAACATCCGACACATATACCTTTTCCTTTCAAAATGCTACTTCCAACTGCAGCTGGGAAAACACAGTATTCCTAGGCAACAGCGGTCTGTTAAAGCCCAAACAGAGCTTTCAAATTCCCTGCTCCAGGGTGAAAATTATTAGGAACATAGGAAGCTGCCTTATACAGTGTCAGGCCATTGGTTCATCCAGCTCAGTACTGTCTGCACTGACCAAGTGTATTTCCACCAAGTGTATTTCCCAGCCATGCCGAGAGAGGGCAGGGACTGAACCTGGGACCTTCTGCAAGCAAAGCAGGTACCCTTCCCCAATCAGAGCTCCCTTGCAGTTTAGTGCTAAAAGCATCAAGTAGGTGACCTGTGCTACCCACCCTCTCTGCTGCATCAAATCTGCTCCAAGGGTTTCCAAAGAGAAGCTTAAGTGTCTACAACCTGCTTGGATGATGCAAAAGATGAGAGCCTGCATGGTTTTCGCAAGGGTTGATCAACTCTTGCTAACCAGAGGGCTGAGGAATGGAAGATCCATGCACAATCCTTTTCATCCCCCACCAAGCTCTTGAATTTCACCACGGTCCATGCACTTTCAAGAGTTTTATTGCACTCATAAGGACTAGCAACCTGTTGCTTGTTTTTGGAATCATACCGCTCAGGATGGCTTTTGTTTATACACCAAATGATGCAGTGCATACAGTTCTATCAAAATCATACCAAAAAGGGGGGTGGAACATACACTAAATGTTTAGTTTGCATTAATATGAATAAACAAGGTTGCAATCCTATCCCCTCTTACCTGGGAGTAAGCCCCACTAAATTTGAAAGGACATACTTCCGATTAGACATGGGACTGCATTCTACCATGTTCTACTCACAGTAGACCCACTGAAATTAATGAACCTAACTTAGCTATGATCACTGGGTCTACTCTGAACCAACACCGGCTACTCCAGAATGTCTCTGAGCATATTCCGAGTGTCGGAATTAGTTTTCATCATTTTGGTTGAGCTGAGGTCACTGAACTTTTATGCACAAATCTTCTGACAAGCTCTCTTCATTTCAGCCTCCTTGATCGGGTGGAAAAAGTGATTTTGTTTTTGCTATTGTTAAACAGTTGCCAGTCGGAAACCCTCACAGATCAGCTTTAGTTGAGATTCCTGAATTACCAGGGGTTGGTCTAAATGACCCTAGGGGTCCCTTCCAACTCTACAATTCCATGATTCTAAAAACTGTCTACTTTTGAATTCAGACTGGCCTAACTCCCAGGTAAATGCCTAATGTTCCAATTAGTGATAAATTAAAAGGCACCACCCTGCATTCCCCAAATCTATCACCTCCATCCCATCCCATGCTTATAATCTTTTGCAGGTTTCTGAGGAATGTGGGTGGAAGAAAAGAGTTGTATCCCCCCAAAAAAAATAATAATAATTTTTTATGTTAACATTGTTCACGGCTGAATTTGCGCAGTCGCTGCTTAGAACGCTCCATCATAGGTTAGGCATCCTTTTTAGCAATCAGAATACATTCTCTAAGACAAGAACCAAAAAGCCAGCTGAGCTCCAGGGAGACTTCACACTCTTGTTCAGCAACAGTTCATCAACATCCACATTCTCCCCCCCCCCAAAGGATCAGGTTCATACATCTGCTTTTTCGCTACATACCTCCAGCTGGCTGGTTTCAGATTCCCTGTCCCCAAAAAGCACCTCCCTTCCCAAATCCAAGCTCAGATATAGGGTGATCAACCAGTCAACCTAACTCAGAAGCATCCGCTCTGGCTGACTCTCTTAAGCTCCTTCCTAGGTTCTGCCACCTGTATCCTTACAATACACAGGAGGGGAGCCTTAGGCCTGGGAGCAGAATCTGACCCTTGGGACTCTTCCCTAGGTCACTTCCCCTTCCCAGCCCCTTCCTCTCCCCTGGCTGGAATGTATGCATGGCATTCCAACAGGCGTGAGGTTCCAGAGAGTAGATGCTGTCACACGAAAATATAGATTTCTCGCAAGTCCGGAACAAACATTATGCGACACTTGCACGAGAGCCACTTCCGCAAAGGGATGTGATTAAGTGGGCAGTGCTGCTCTGAAGCCTGAAGCAATTCATGCTTCCATGTGGAGCCATACATTCTGGGGCAGGTTGTATCCATTTGCAAGGCTCTTAACAAGTCGGGTCCAGAATACCTTAAGGACCAACTGTTCCCTTAGACCCTTGCTCGATCCCTGAAATCTCTGGGGGAGTCTCTGCCAGTGGCCCCCAATGGCTCAGGTGCATAGCTTGTAACTACAAAAGCCATGCATTCAGTGGGCTCAAGCCTGTGGACCCACCAGAGACAAGACATGTTTGATGTTTTACCGTGTTTTTAATATTCTATTGGGAGTCGCCCAGAGTGGCTGGGGAAACCCAGCCAGATGGGCAGGGTATAAATAATAAATTATTTCTTCTTCTTCTTCTTCTTCTTCTGGACGGTGAAGGAGCTGCTGCAGAATCAAGAGGACATGGATGGTGAAGGAGTGGCTACTGTGACCTGCAACACCTGTGCCATATTTGTGGGGCTACCTTTGAAGGTGACCTGGAAACTGCAATTAATCCAGAATGCAGCAGCTAGGCTGGTGACTGGGAGTGGCTGCCGGGACCACATAACACCGGTCCTGAGAGATCTGCATTGGCTCCCAGTACGTTCCCGAGCACAATTCAAAGTGTTGGTGCTGACCTTTAAAGCCCTAAATGGCCTCGGTCCTGTATACCTGAAGGAGCGTCTCCACTCCCCATCGTTCAGCCCAGACACTGAGATCCAGCGCCAAAGGCCTTCTGGTGGTTCCCTCATTGCGATAAGCAAAGCTACAGGGAACCAGGCAGAGGGCCTTCGCAGTAGCGGCCCACCCTGTGGAACACCCTCCCTTCAGATGTGAAGGAAATAAGCAGCTATCATCTCTTTAAAAGACATCTGAAGGCAGCCCTGTTTTTAACATTTAATGCTGTATTGTTTTTAACATTCGATTGGGAGCTGCCCAGAGTGGCTGGGGAAACTCAGCCAGATGGGCGGGGTATAAATAATAAATTATTATTATTCCTGCTACAGAACGTGCAAGAGTATACTTCTAGCAAGTGCAAACTGGTTGCCTTGCTGGAAGAGAAGGTGCAGCAACCTGAGGCCCACCCAGCCACACTTCAGGCTACAGGACAAGATGCAGAGTTTTTCGATACAGCTGAGTGAACTGCACTGGAAGAGCAAGACAGGTGGGGTGCCCCTAGGGAGGAGGTAGACCGCCCATTCCAAGAGACAAAACCCTGGAGGAAAATGACAGGAGTGAACAGAGGAGAACATCCAACATGATCAAGGTCTGGAAACCAAGCCTTATGAGGAATGGTTGAGGGAGCTGGGTATGTTTAGCCTGGAAAAGAGGAGACTGGAGATATGATAGCCACCTTCAAATATCTTAAAGGCTGTCACATGGAAGATGGAGCAAGCTTGTTTTCTCCTGCTCTGGAGGATAGGACTCAAACAGACGTCTTCCAATTATGAGAAAGAAGATTCCAACTAAACATCAGGAATAACTTTCTGAGTGTAAGAGCTGTTTGACAGTGGAAGAGACTCTTTCGGGAGGTTGTGAACTCTGCTTCCTTGGAGGTTTTTAAGCAGAGGTTGGATGGCCATCTGTCATGGATGCTTTAGCTGAGATTCCTGCATTGCAGGGGGTTGGACTAGATCATCCTTGGGATACCTTCCAATTCTATGAGACAGGCACCCTCCTGGCTGAACTTCAGGCACATGACAAAGTCTTCCTCACTCCAGCAGAAAATGCCTGCTGGTCAGCCTTTGCTTTTGTGACAGATTTTTTATTCTCTGTGTGGTTTATTTATATGCACACTGCTCAGAAATGCAAATGATTAAGCAGTACCTAAATAACACAAGCAGAACAAAAAGAAATTAATGACAGGCATGAATAGCCCTCCAGGTTATGGCAGCCACTGGAGGGCAAATCTCCAGAAGGCGCATTCTGCATAGCAAAGTGTGTAACATGAACCGAGGTCAGTAGGCAGGAAGCCAACAGGCCTATCGCTACATAGCAAGACTTGTTGCCAGAACAAACAGAAAAATATTTAACCCAGGCAGATCCCCATGCAATAGCAGGAAAGGAGACCAAAACGTGGAAGCCTGTGTTACACTCTGTATTAAAGGAATATGTAACCAAGCTCAAGAATATCAATATAAGCATTCAAAAAACTTCGATTTGCTTCACCACCCCCAAACTTCTAGTCCAGGGGGTGGTGGACCTCAGACCTGGGGTTGATGGCAGCATTCCAGGCCTTTCCATGTGGCTCTTGGAACTCTTCCCAAGGCCGTGTCCCTCACCGAACTCAAGCATTTTTGCCTGGCGGGAAGGCAAACTTGAACTCTGATTGCTGGATGGAAGACAGAGAGGTGTACATGTGTGCTCACAGAAGCCAGGGACAACCTGCCCCACTCACTATGGCACTTGGCCCCCAGGGAAGTTGTTCAGAAGGGAATGTGGCCCCACAGCTCTAGACCTTGGAGCAAAGATGGGAGCCTGGAAACTAAAAATCTCATACGCTAGAAAACTACTTCTTATTAGGATATGAGGAAGTAAGTAAGTGAGTAAGCAGTGCTTACGGAAGCAAAGCAACTAGAGACAAGTCATCAGGATGAATGCAGATTTTCTGTGCACGAAATTAAAAAGAATTCGAAACCCACATAATCCAGATTCAATGCCATGAAAACTCTGAGAGAGAGATATTTAGGATTTTGTATTAAGGAAGGAAAATACAAGACAACTCATTTTGTACTTACGACATCGTAATTTGTAGGCGCTCGGTTCCGGGAAGCAACGACCCCGACTCCAGTGATTGGGTCCATGGGCACATCTGGCAAGGCATCAGCAAGTTCTCTAACCTCAGGCATTGTGGACTGTTCCTGAAAGAGTGAAGAAGATTTAGAGGGAGGGCAAGGTCAGCGGGCAAAAAGCCAGTGGGCTGCCCTATCACACAGTATAACAAGAGGCTGCCAAAATAAACACCCTTGGCTGGGCACACCTAACTCAAAGTGGCATTTGCAGCTGATAAAAACTCACTTAAATTGACTCCCTTTTCTGATAGGCTCTCAACTAGGTTCAGCTAAGGATCACTGCCTGAGGAACGTTTAACCCAGGCGGGTCTTCATCCGAGAGAAGCAAAAGACGCCCAAGGGTGGTAGCCTACTTTATAAAAAGGAGAAGGAAACTGCACCCAGGTCTGCATATCACACCATTTGCAAATAATGGGCTTACTGACTGAAAACCTTAAGGACCAGTCCCCCAAAAGCTCACACCTGAAGGAGAGAGAACAAGACCAACAGGCTTCAGACCTCAAAGCAGAGTGGAAACATTCACAATATTGCAACCCCTGTAAGTACCAGGAGAATCAACATGTAGGTGGGAGTTGCAGGGGAGCTCCTATCATAGGAGAAAGGGGTTGCACCTGGGTAACAAAGCCCAGGGGGGCAATTAAATCTAGCAAAGAATGTGGAACAGGAGAAAACAGCAATAAATAACTTTTTGTAGTGCTCCAATTTAGGTAAAGGACGGCAAAGGGCCTCCAGCCCTGGCCTAAGGGCTAAGAAGCATGTTATACAATCATTTCCATGTGGTTGGAGACTCAGAAAGCTACACCCACAATATACAGCATGCTAACATTGCAAGGGCCCCTATTTAAGGAGACAGGTGACCCCCAGGTGCACAGTGAGCACCTGCCTTGGGCCCTCTCTCAGTGGCTAAAGCAAATAGCACAGAATAGTTCACCTAAAGCACTGAGCTGCATTCAGGTGACTAGGATCAGACCCATGGGTGGGTGGGAAATTGTAATCTCACAGATCTTAACAAGAGACAAATCAGGCAGTAAAGTGATGTTGCAGGATACTAAAGCAGGGAAGAAATAAAAAGGATTCAAAAGTGGAACGCAGGTTCACTTACACTGAAAGTTCACACCCACACCATCTATTTAAAGCATTTTGTTTCCCCCAAAGAACCCTAGGAAGTGTAGTCTACACCTCACAGAGCTCCAGCCCTCAGTACCCTTAAAACAAACTAGAGTTCTCAGATTCTTAGGGGCTCAAGCCATGGGCTTTAAATATAGCTTGGGGATGTGACCCAAAGGCAGCGCCCCATCCACAAATGTATATATCCAAAAAAGGAAAAAATACATTTTTTAAAATAGAAGCAATACAATATAACGCTCTGAAAAATGGGGGAATTACAGTAAAAAGGCAGGTGCAACACACATGACATATCATGACGTCCTCAGGGGATAAAAAGTCCCACTGTTGCCAAATGTCCATAACTGCCCTTGATCTGTGTTTTTGTTAGTCTTTGCTGCATGCATATGCAATAAAGTTCTGCTGGGTGGTGTAAAATGACTACGGTAACTTTTTTCCTTGACTAACCCATATTTTACATGTGATTTTCTCCCATTATTGCTAAAGTCCAAATTGTTCGGTACCAAGCTGATAGGTTTAGGCCATCCAGATTTTTCCACTGCCGTATGATGTCGCATTTAGGAAATGCGAAGTCCTTGGTCTTGAGATTCCCTATTATGTCCCATAAGGATAGAAAACAAAAATTAATTCTGGTGTAAATTCAACACTATCTCCTGTAATACGGTGTTCTTTCAAACTTGGGTCGCCAGGTATTGTTGTTGGACTACAGCTCCCATCATCCTTTGCCACTGGGCTGAGCTGGCTGGAGATGATGCAAATTGTAGTTCCAACAAAGTCTGGGTTGAAGAAGGCTGGTCCAGCTGCCACACAGCGTCAGGGATTAGCACAGGGCTGTCCATGTGGATGTCCTCCAGAAGCTGTGGACTACAACTCCCATCAGCCCCAGTGAAGCTTCAGCGCAACATCAGGAGGGCATCAGCCCTGGCTTAGTGGGTGGCTCCTCCCTGTCTTGCCCAACTATGAGTGAAGGACAGTGAGTGGAGCATCTCTTGAAAGCACATAGAACTATGGCAAGGGTAGAGAATCTTGGGCCAGGAGGTCAAGTGAGGCCTTCAAATTCTACCAGTCCAATCCCCAAGGACCCTGAGTGCTGTCAACTGGCTGGAGTGTGTCCTTGAACTGTGATGACGCATTTCCCCTGCCATGATGGAGACGCAGGTGTGTGGAAACCGCTGGTGTGTGCCTGGCTGCTGTGATGAAGCCTTTAATACAACAGTACAAATTAACTTGTGCTGCCCCATCCACTTTCACCTCTGTCCTGACCACCCTTGGCATGAGGTCCTCATGTGAATATGGCTGAAAACTGCTCTGCACCCCTGACTTACAGAGCGTTCCCCCTTACTATGTGATCAACCAACCACTATATATCTAGGGCCAAAGAACACTTTGGGTTAACAGGCAGGCGGAGAGACTTACAAGGTGGTCAAGGCTGAAGACCCCTCAGTGAACTAACCTGAACCCTGCAACCATCATCTGAGGCCCTTCTTCGTGTGCTGGTGGGTGGCAACAAGACAGCAGTCCTTTTCTTCAGCGGCTCCCCATTTGTGGAATGCTCTCCCCAGGAAGGCCCACCTTACGCCTTCATTATACATCATTAGGACCAGGCAAAAACACTCCTCTTCTCCCAGGTATTTCACTGATTAAACAATCTATGGCCTTTTAAACAGGGGGAGGTATTTTTTTGTTGCTTATCATATTATCTATTTTTGTGTTTTCACATGGTAAACTACCCTGTGATCCTCAGATAAAGGGTGGTATAGAAGTAATTTAATAAATTAAAATAATGATAAAGAGCAGCCTTCTTTCAGAAAAAGGGCAGCATTTGCCAAGTGACCAAGTCAGGCATTCCTGGATGTCTTTGGCAGAAAGAACTACATTCTCTCACCCCGTTAGAAGATGCCAACAATAATCTGCCTTTGGGTTCCGGTGGGGGCGGGGGGGGGCACACAGTAAAAAAGAGAGAAAGCGCAAAGCCATTGTCGGCTTGGAAGCACAAAAGCCTTCTTGTGGGTGTGTGACTCGGAGCGAGCAGCAGGGGGCGGGCAGGAAACCCAGCATCAATTCGGACTTTGTCGTTGGGCACACAAAGACCCATTTTATAAAAGGGGTGGATGGTGAAGGGGGGGGAGGAAAGCGGAAAGGGAAAAAACTCAGGCCCTTCTGTACTAGGTGGGGGCAACTGGACACTTTCTTAGGGGGCGGAATGGGGGAGCAAATAACAGGGCCCACCCCCCCACTTTCCAGCAGAGGAAACACCAGGTGCCTCTGAACACTCAAATCTACATCCACTGTGCATTCTGTTTTTCTCCACTTTGGGGAGTCAAGTTGTGGTGGAAAGACGCCAATGTCTAATTAATGCTGATGAGTGAAGTTCTTGCATGCTAACTAGCAATGTGCCTTTCCCACACACTTATTTTGCCCCATTTCCCCTTCCCCTTCTCTCTCATATCTCCCACCCCCAAACAAATCTTCTGGGCTTCCTATTGCTTAGACCCTTTGGACTGGCTCACCTATTTGAATATGCATAGTATGTCACTTATTATCTCCAGGATGGTGAGCAGTAAGAGAGAGGCACTATCTCTCATGGGAACAGCACACCTAGGAAACTGACATGCCCAGTCAGGCCACTGGGTCCATTTGAGCACACTGGCTCAGCTCATATCTAACACTAAGCCCAACCATAATCAGAACCATTATATTTATGATTAAATGTGATACAGAAAAATAGGGGTGTTTGGCTTTTGCTGCCCAACTCCCCAAGGAACTGAGCCCCCCAAGTCCATGATTGGGCAGAGATGAATGGATGGAGGCAGGTTACAGTGAAAGCAAGGCAGATCTTTACTTTTCTGTTGCAACAGAGCTCAGGAATATCACACCTTGGCCTGCCTTAGCCATAGTAACCCCACTTTATGTGTGATGTAATTTCTGACTGTTCGTGGAGGGGGTGCCCTTCTTCTCCACGCCAAAATGCAAACCCTTAAAAGAGATGTTTCTTCTTGGTTATGGGTCTCTTTTGCCTCCTTGCTAGGAGGGGAGGGAAGTCTGTTGCAACAGAAAAATAAAGATCTGCCTTGCTTTTGCTGCATCCTGCCTCCACCCATTCATCTCCGACCGATCACGGACTTAGGGGACTCAGTCCCTTGGGGAGTTTGGCAGCAAAAGCCAACCACCCCTCTTTTTCTATATCAAACGTATTTATATCCTACTTTTCTCTGAAGCTGGGAATCAAGATGGGTTTCAACATTAAAAAAAAATCTATTACAAAATATCAAGTCATAACAACAAACTAATTAAAAACAATTACAGTGGTACCTCGGTTACAGATAGGTAGCCGTGTTGGTCTGCCATAGTCAAAACAAAAAATTCCTTCCAGTAGCACCTTAAAGACCAACTAAGTTAGTTCTTGGTATGAGCTTTCGTGTGCATGCACACTTCTTCAGATACACTGAAACAGAAGTTGCCAGATCCTTCTAATGGTACCTCGGGTTACATATGCTTCAGGTTACATACGCTTCAGGTGACAGACTCCGCTAACCCAGAAATAGTGCTTCAGGTTAAGAACTTTGCTTCAGGATAAGAACAAAAATCGTGCTCCGGTGGTGCGGCAGCAGCAGGAGGCCCCATTAGCTAAAGTGGGGCTTCAGGTTAAGAACAGTTTCAGGTTAAGTACGGACCTCCGGAACGAATTAAGTACTTAACCTGAGGTACCACTGTATTAAAATACACTGGAACACATTTAGAACCAGCAAGTAAAATACAGTTTGCCCTGAAGACAGCCCAGCGGTCAGCACCCTCTGCTCCTTCGTTTCCAAAGGCCTGTCAGAAGGATAACAAGGAGGGAGCCCATCTAACCTCTCTTGGGAGGGAATCCTGTCTAGGGGAGCAGCCACAGAAAGGCCTCTCTCTCCTGTCACCACCTAATGGGCTTTTGGTGTTAATGGGAC